CCCTACTACGTAGGCCGGGGGCATCTTCACAGCGTTTTACTTTTTTTTTTTCATTTTTTGGGGCCATTTTTTTCTGGCCAACCTAGAAAAGTGTAAAGATCGTGTCTGCAAAATTTTATTATTTTTTGACGTCATTTTTATTTTATTATATTTTTTAAAGATGAAAAATAAAGAAAATTATAAAGAATAAAACATTCATAAAAAATGATGCCGCTTGTTGCATCAATTCTTAAAACTCAAATTTCATTTTAGAATGCAAAACATAAAAAAAAAAAAAAAAAAAAAAAAAAAAAAAAAAAAAATTGACTCATCTCGGCCCCTGAGCTGGCTCCTGAGCGCCCCACTACAGGGGTCGGAGGCTTGTTGAAACCGTTTTACTTTTTTGTCATTTTTTGTGGCCATTTTTTTTTCTAGCATACCTAGAAAAATGTATGGATCATTTCTGTAGAATTTCATTATTTTTTAACGTCATTTTTATTTTATTACATTTTTTAAAGAGGAAAAATAAAGAAAATCTTAAAAAATAGAATATTCGTCAAATAATAGTACCGCTTGTTGTATTAATTTCTCAAAATCATATATTAATTTTAGAATAAAAAACATAAATAAAAATGTAAATTTTTTACCCATCCCGGCCCCAGAGTTGGCCCTTGGGCACCCCACTACGCAGGCCGGGAGCATTTTGACAGCGTTTTATTTTTTTTGTCATTTTTTGAGGCCATTTTTTTATGGTGGGCCTAGAAAAATGTAAGGATCATGTATGTAAATTTTCATTATTTTTTTACATCATTTTTATTTTATTATATTTTTTAAAGAGGAAAAATAAAGAAAATAAAAAAAAGAATATTCATCAAATAATGGTATCGCTTGTTGCATTAATTCCAAAAAGTCATATATTAATTTGAAAATGCAAAAGATAAATAAAAATATAAATTTTTTACCCATCCCGACCCTTGAGCTGGCCCCTGGGCGCCCCACTACGCGGACTGGTGACTTTTGGATAGTGTTAAACTTTTTGTTGTCATTTTTTGCGGCCATTTTTTCTGGCATGCCTAGAAAAATGTAAGGACCGTGTTTGTAAATTTTCATTATTTTTTGGCATCGTTTCTATTTTATTATATTTTTTAAAGAGGAAAAAGAAAGAAAATCATAAAAAATAGAATATTCATCAAAAAATGGTGCCACTTATTGCATTAATTCCTAAAAATCATATATTAATTTCAGAATACAAAACATAAATTAAAATATAAATTTTTGACCCATCCCGGCCCCTAAGCTAGCCACTAGGCGCCCCACTACGCGGGCCGGGCACTTTTTGACAGCGTTTTACCTTTTTTGCCATTTTTAGGCTAGTTTTTTCTGGCATGCCCGGAAAAATGTAAGGATCGTGTCTCCAAATTACATTATTTTTTGACGTCGTTTTTATTTTATTATATTTTTGAAAGACGAAAAATAAAGAAAATAAAACAAATACAATATTCATCAAAACATGGTGCCGCTTGTTGCATTAATTCCTAAAAATCATATATTAATTTTAGAATACAAAATATAAATAAAAAGATAAATTTTTTACCCATCTTGGCCCCTGAGCTGGCCCGTGGGCACCCTACTACGAGGGCCGGAGGCTTTTTGATAGCGTTTTACTTTCTTTGTCATTTTTTCAGGCCATTTTTTTCTGGCACGCCTAGAAAAATGTAAGGATTGTGTCTCCAAAATTTCATTTTTTGACGTTGTTTTTATTTTATTATATTTTTTAAAGACGAAAAATAAAGAAAATCATAAAAAATAGAATATTCATAAAAAAATGGTGCCGCTTGTTGCATTAATTCCTAAAAATCATTTATTAATTTTAGAATGTAAAACATAAATAGAAATGTAAATTTTTGACCCATCTCGGCCCCTGAGCTGGCCCTTGGGCACCCCACTACGCGTGTTGGGGACTTTTTGACAGCGTTTTACTTTTTTGTTATTTTTTTAGGCCATGTTTTTGGCATGCCTAAAAAAATGTAAGGATTGTGTCTGTAAAATTTCATTAGTTTTTGACATCGTTTTTATTTTATTATATTTTTTAAAGACGAAAAATAAAGAAAATCATAAAAAATAGAATATTATGTTTTGAATTCTAAAATTAATATATGATTTTTAGGAATTAATGCATTATATTATTAGAAATATAATACAATTATAAAAATGTAATAATATAATATAATATAACATATTATAATTATAATATATAACATATAATATAGTATATTATCATTTCTAATTATAGTATATTATCTATTATAAAATAAATTTTATTTAATTTTATAAAAAAATACTACTATCCTAATTATTATTATAATTATTTATTACAATATCACAATTATATTATATTATAATGATAAATATAATTACAATGTATAATACATAATATAAGATATTATTATAATATTAAATATGATATATTATAATGTACGTATATAATTATAATATATTTTATTATATGTTATAAGATATAATTACATTATAATATAAATTATTATAATATAATACTAATTATATTATAGATATTAATATTATAATATTTATAATTATAATATTTAAAAGTAACGATGGAAAAGAAAATTAAAAGAGTTTGGAATGGGCATTCCTCTCATATGAGAGAGGAATGATGATTCACCTATTTAATGGAAAAATCATTCCATTTTGAATGATCATTTTTTTTTTTTTTTAAATCAACCAAACATGAGAATGAACATTGATTCCTTTCCATTCTCCCAACTAAACACACTCTGGGTTCTCATAAGAAAGCCGGGATAGCTGTTATGGAAGCTATGAAGCTAATTCCAGAAACGACCGAAAATGAGAGAGACGTATGGTGATAAGCTATATAAAGACACACAAATTTGTATTAGTGCATGAGATAAAGATTTAAGAAGTTGTATTGTTTTATTCCCTCAAAGCATGTAGATGATGCAATTATATTTTCGAAATTATTGCACTTGAAGAAATTAGAGCTTTAACTAGATTTTTGAGCTTTGTCTGCAGATCGAAGCAATGGAGTTATACTTACCTAGACTCAACTTAGCGTACCAAAAGCTTACCGCCAAATTACAGCAGGTATGTCTTACCTTTTTCACTTGCTTGAATTCGTTTATACCAACAAATTTTTGCTTCAATTTTTGGGAACTTCTTGTACTAACCATGATGGGTACGTATTATATTCGCTTAATTGTGTCTCTCTTTCTGTTTGCCAGCTTGATTCTCTTCCTCAACAGCAAAAGCCAGAGCATTATGAGAAGTTAAAATCACTTGAGACCAAGTTTGAGCGTGCTATGTCATGCTTACAGGTCCCAGAAAATTCTGTTTCATTTTGTCCTGGGCTGGTGGAGAAATTGGCTCACTTTGAGAGGCAACTAAAAAAACTTTTTAGCGTAAATAGACGCAGGGAGCCTGTTTCTCAACTGCACCAAGGACAGGTTCCCCCATCTCATATGCAGACCATGCAGCTGCCACAATCGCAAATCACCCGAGTACGTTTTCATGAAAACCAAATGAACCCTCAGTTGCCATCAATGCATGCACAAGGCTCCACGGAAACAATGCAGCAGAACAACTCGGCAAGCTTGCAGGAAACTTTCATCTCTGCTTTATCTGTGGAGTTTCAAGACCTCTGCTTAATATGATGTATTCATTACAGCCTAGTTCTAATATGGATTCAGGACAAGGAAATTAACTGAAACTCGTCGCAGCAGTTTCCGCGTGGGCTGCTTTTATATTTTACTCAAAAACTTATATTAGGCATTCTGAGGAGGTTCATCCTCAGATATGAGATTCATTGGTGGAAATGTATTACTACACTTTTGAATGCAACTACTATGTTGACTTATGTACAGTGTGTTGGGACCCGCTATGATATATGTATTCTGTGTGAATGTTTCTTACTTTGACGCCTCTGCTTGCTTCTTTTTCTTACCTGGTTGCCGCTAACCATTTGACCACGTCGTGCTATGTATCAATCTATTTGTTCTTTTATTTATTTATTTATTTATTTTTTACTGATATGTGTTGCCTTGAGAGCACTTTTTTTTTTTTTGCTTGGTGGAGCGTCTGGAGACCTTTTATCAACTTTGATTTGTTTACTTGATGAACAACTTTTATCGACTTTCAATTTATTGACTTTTTTACACGATTTCATCTACTAATTTCAACTTAAAAGCTATGTGATAATAAAATTTGGAGCCCTCGGAGTAATACTCTAATGGAAAAACATGTAAACCATAAGTAAATGAGTTTTATTTATTTATATGCTTTATCTTAGTGAAGTGCCGGACACAAATAAGAGCTCACTGCTCATGGATGAGTCTCACTAGCTTGTTTCAATCCAAGTCCGTTGACCATTATGAAGACAAATAAACAAGTTGTATGAGATGTTTAGGACATCCCTTGTTCTGTTTTACCATTTTAGCCAACTTATCAAAAGCCAATGCCAGGTGTATTGTGCAACCAGGATCATATATAAGCCGTTCCACTAACAAAAGGACAAGAAGAAGCAATCTTTTTAACGGCCGGACATGGATAACTGGCCATGTACCTAAAACATCATTAGAACTTAAACCCAACAAAGAGAAAAACGACAAACGAAAGTTTTTTTCTTTGGAAATCGGTGTTAAGAATCAAACCCGACGAGAGAAGAGATCTCAGGACGTAATACGATGCTCTTTACCAAATTGAAGCCTTTTCTTCTCCTACCAAGTTTGCTCTTCATTTTCTCAGCCTTCTTTTCACCGTCTCATGAAGCTCCTCAAAATCATGGTATCCTTCTCTTTCTTCTTTCTCTCTTCTTTCCTTTTATTTATTTTATTTATTTTTTTTCCTGTGGATAAGATGCATTTTTCTCAGCTGTAGAAAGATTTTAAATCCATTAGATCTTACATCGGAAGAAGTCATGAGTTACATGAGTTGGCCTGAATCAAGATTGTATGTTGTTTTCTCCATTTTTTTCATACGTTAAGAGAATGTTCCTAACTATAGGACTGAGTACATATGAGAACGATCATGGTGTCGATCCAAGGCCGAGTATTAGAAGGCATCTTCTTGAGGCAACAAAAGCAGAACCAGAACAGAATTCATCCCTGATATTGGCTGCAGAGAGTACACACAGAAAAGACCCTCTTGATGGTTTCAATTATTACAAGGGTGGATGGAATATTAGTGAAAGACATTACTTCTCTGTGAGTCTTGGAATGCCTTCTTAATTTTATACCTATATACGTATCGCTTATTAATTTCTGTTTTTGTTTTCATAAGTGAAATGGAAGGAACAAATCTTAAGTACTCATTATCTTGTTTAAGAGAGAAAAACAAAAATGTCACCAAACAACCTTGACTAATTGTTTCCGCGGTGCAGTCTGTTGGGTTTACTGCCGCTCCTTTGTTCGTACTCGCCGCAGCCTGGTTCCTAGGATTTGGTGTGTGCATGCTGGTTATTGGTCTTTGCCACTGCTGCTTCCAACGTCAACATTCTGGCTATTCTCGAACTGCATATGCGCTTTCCCTCATATTTCTCCTTCTCTTCACCATTACTTCAATGTTAGTTCTGACTTCCAAACCCTCCTTCTAGTCCATTTTGTCATATTGAATATTGATATGATTAATGATGTAATCATCACCTTTGTTGCATAGGAATGTGGGATTTATTTGTCACGCTTTTTATATCTTGGTTGTTTTATTGTCACTGATAACAAACACTGCTTGATTCACAGTAATTACATGTTTATTTTTTTTAAGAATTGGATGCGCTATTCTGTATATGGGACAAGGGAAGTTCCACAAAGAGACGTCAAACACTTTGGACTATGTTGTTCGGCAAGCAGACTCCGTTGTCAAGAGTCTTGGAAGTGTGTCGTATTATCTTGATGATGCTAAGGATGTTAGAATCGCTCAGATTTTCTTACCTTCTGATAGTCAGGAAAGCATTGACAGTGTTGAAAATAAGATCAACGCTTCTTCTGCTCGTCTAGAACAGGCAACGAAGGACAATTCAGATGACATACAGCGAGTTTTAGATTCTGTGTCAGTAAATCCTGTTTTCTTTTTCCTTTTGTTTTTCTTTTATCAAATATTGTTTTATTGCTTGGTTTCAAGGATAACTGATCTTTTTCAACTGATGATTTATTGCTGAATTTGCTACACAGGAGTTTGAGTCTAGTTATAATTGCCGCAGTAATGCTGCTGTTAGTTTTTTTTGGTTTCCGTAAGCCAACTGACCCTATATATACGTCAATGTCTCCAATTATTTTCACTATTATCATCAATGTTTGCTTTTATTTTATTTTATTTTGGTAAACTCTTATATATCATCACATATTGTTCTTGTTACTCGCAATTGCAGTGTTTTCAGTTCTGGGTATGCGACGTCTTGTGTATACGTAAGTGATTAACTTACCATTCTAGTTAACGTTTCTATGCTTTTCAATTCTCATATATTCTGCTAATTTCCATATAGGTTGCAATATTATATAGAAATTAAAATTTAGCTTCTACGATAAGTAAAGATACTTTGAATTTTCACAACCGGTTATATAGTAAGTGATGCGTTTTTTTCCAATGATATGTTGCTTAACTACAACAACAGAATTAGACAGTAGACAATGATGGTGTTTGTGTAAAACGACATGTGGTTTATAGTTATAATAGAAAATTTGTAACTAGAAACGACATGAAGGTAATATGAATAATTATGAATAAAAGATGAGTAGCAAATAAAAAAAATTATGAATAACGGACAAAAAATTTAACGGGAAACCATCATCACTTTTTGGACAGACAACAGAAAACTTTTTAAAACAAAAACCATATGTAACATTACTTCCTAAAACGACAACAAACTTGAATACTTTAAACAACCACTGAAGACTTTACAAGAATTTTTTTTTTCAAAAAAAAAGGCGCGTCTTTTTTCACGGTTGAACGTACGGAAATCTTTTTTGACAACGTGTCGTTTCTAATTGAACAATTGTAAATTTTGTTGCCAAAAAATTACGTGTCAAATTTTAAATATAAACGACACCAGCATTTAAAATTTTGAGGACATGTCTTTAATGTAGGCAAGGAAATGTCCTTTGTACAGCTAAGGAAAGACGACAACTAACTAGTATAAGGAAAAACGACATACCCTTTTTTAGCTGTAATTAAAATTTTGAAATATAAAGGACAGAACTTTCCAGGATGAATTTTTTTTTTTTTAAAGTAATAATAAAAAAGCCGGTCGTTTAAACTAGAACAAACTGCAGGTTTTCTTTTTTTTGGGTTAAAAATTGAACATAACTTTTGATAAGCACAAAAAGACGTCCTTATTATTTTCTAGTCGTAAGGATATCCGATCTTTAGATTATAAGCAATAATAAAGAGATATAATAACTATATATGATCTTTTTCTCCTGATTAGTATTCATAATTAGAGGAATAATTGCAGATTGGTGGTGATAGGGTGGATCCTCGTCACGGTTACATTTATTCTTGGCGGCATATTTCTTCTTCTTCACAAGTAAGTTCGGTGTCACAAACTCTCGCTTTTGCATATATAATAAATACACTATTTTTACAATAAGATCAATATTACAGTGTAGTAGGAGATACCTGTGTTGCAATGGACGAATGGGTTCAGAACCCAACGGCCGATTCAGCTTTGGACGACATTCTTCCCTGCGTAGACAATGCAACTGCCCAAGAAACGCTGCGAGAGAGCAAAGATGTCACGCTCCAATTGGTGGATCTTGTTAATCAGTTCATAACCAATATCTCCAACTTTAATCTAAGGCCAGTCCCACCTGAGACATCGCCATTAATTTTCTTCAATCAATCCGGTTCACTGGTGCCTGTTCTGTGTAATCCCTTTCATTCCAATATCACAGACCGCAAATGTTCTGATGGTGAAGTCAACTTCGGCAATGCTGGGCAGGTAAACAAAAATTATTAAAAAAAAAAATAGAGTTGTTTGATCAAATGTGTCCCCTTCCTGGTAGGATATTGTTACACATCATATCATACTCAAAGACAAAACAAAAACAAAAACAAAAAAAAAAAAAAAAAATATATAT